ATATTTCATAGTCACCAGTAGGGTGTTTATCTCTCGATTTTATTAAAACACGTACACTCGTAACACCAGTGGGTGCTCAAAATTATGACAGTAGCATGGTGTTGATAATTGCTTGACACCAGTGGGGTGTCCCAAATCTCAGCACCGGCGGGGTGCTCTCATTTTCTTGGCATGACAATCTCATGGCTTAGCTTGAAAATAAAACTGGATTTTGATGGCTTTCATTTTTGAGAAAATAAATATGTTTTAAAAATAATCCGAAGTGGCGTTCGTTATTTTGATAATGAAAAATCATTGATGCAAACTCTTAAATTAAGATTGATACTATTCACCATAATGCTCCAGAGAGGTCGAAAGTTGAAAGATCTTTTATTCAGGACGATGGAAGCAAAAGCGATACAAATTTTAACAAGGTAAACTGTCTCGATTAGTTGATGATAATCAACATCATCCATGCGTTGAGCTTTGCTTCGTGGCTGTCCTAATGATTTTCTTGATTGGACTGCAAGTTGTGGTTGCTCTCCAGCAGTGAGTCATGATTTTCTTCAAATTTTGGACGAAGCCTTATGGAAAATGCTCACCTGTTCTTTCATTTCTTCAAGTGTCGCTAACCTTCTTTTGATGAAGTATAATTCCCTCTATAGTGACTCCAAAATGAGCATAACTTTGGATCCCGTCGATGTTTAAGGATTTGAATTTTCCTTGAGGAAGAGCAATTTTGAGGAAACCTGGGTTGTCTCAATATTGTCAAATTATTTCCGTTCTTTTTATGATGGTGTATGCGTGATGCTTATGCAAAATGTTAATGATGTATGAATTCAAATTCATTTGTCGTCTCATGCATGCGTTTTTAATCTTCTTATGATAAGTTGTTAATGAGTGAATGAAAATCTTATGAGAGAATGATGTTTATGAATTTTGAAAACGTTTTTCATTCATGCAATCACACAGTTTTACGAGTAAAAGACAAAACGCATATCATTACGTCGTAAGTAAACATACATTTAGATAAGCAAACATATATCATTGCATCATTACCCTATTTGGTAGACCTAGGGCTTTCAGATGGCGTACCGACATGGTTTTAGGGTGGCTTTGGGGATTGTTTTGGATGGTCGAGGGTAGCTTCGAAGTTTACTATATGCTGGTTAAGGAATTCCTAGGGATTTGGCTCCCAAGTTGTATCCCGCCCTAGCTCTTTCAAACTGGCTGGATACCTCGAGATCATCCTCGGATCCGAGTTCAACTTGGTTAGAAAGTTTTGCGTGACTACCACTATTGTGGATGTCACGGTACTCCTTTCAATTTTCTAAAAGGATAGCTCGGGTATAGAGCTTTTATGCATGAATGCAAAATTAAATTGCGAAAATATAATTGCGCAAATAAGAAAGTAAACACCCAACATTTAATAGGAAAATAGAAAACTTATCGAACTTAATTATGTAGCTTGACTCTCGAGATCCCCAGCGGAGTCGCCAACTGTCGCAACCGTCCCGTCCGGGGGGTCCGAATGTCGTCGCGTCGGCATTTTTGGGAGTCGCCATCGATCTTAGTTGGAGTGGATCGAACACTCTTAGGATCGGCTCTAACCTTAGGGTCAGAACCGAGATATGGTCTGCGAAAAATGAAGTTCTGGGTTCGGGAGTACGGTTACGTGTGGGGAAGTGAAATCACACCCCCACAACGCCCTAAATCGGTACTACTTAAGTCGATAAGTTTTTATGCAAGTTGGGTGTATTTTAGTAAAAATTTTGTAATCTTAGGGTCCCACTGGACCATTTAACGATTTTATCGTATTAGTTGTGATTTAATTGTACGCTCACTGACGTAAAAGATAAAGTTAATTGGTTAGTTGGACTCGAACCTTATCGGTTGCCTACGTACCCGTTAGACGGGATCAAAGTCCACGTAGTTCGTTATATGACATTGATCGTTTTGAATGTAATTTTTACCACGTCCCACTGAACGTAATCCTCACATTAAAATTTTGTTAGTAAAATTTAAATTGATTATTTCAAGGATTTTAGTTATTAGGATGTATTTTGACGTATTGGAAAAAGAAAGGAGGTAAACTTAATCCGCATCTAACATCTCGTATTAAGACCTTTAAACAAATAAAGTTAAACAAGGTGGTTAAACTAATGCATGATGGGCCAGCAGCCCAACTGGCTAAGTTGCTAGCCAAGAGTGAGTCGGCCCCGAGAACATGGGTTCAAAACCCCGTCAAGTACGTATTTTTATTTCTCGTTTTGTTTCAGAAACGGGGGGAAGGGTATTTTGATAATTTCACGGAAACACGGTGGCAGGGATAGGTAGTAATTAGGAAACCCTAGGGGCATTTTAGTCTTTACAATCGATGAGGTATATAAACCTCTAAGGAAAACCCTAGAAGGTCGGCCGCACCATTCCCCTCTCGCCTCTCTTTCGTCCCTCTCATCTCTCACTCTCGTCCCAAACCGAAACTCTAACAGATCTATCCTCTCTCTCTCTCTCTCTCTCTTTCTCAATCTATCGACCACCAGAGAAGATGAGGCGCCGCCCTCTCTCGTCTATCCCCTTCTAAAAAAACGAAAACCTAGCCTCTAGCGCCGCCCTCCCCTTCTTCTTCCTTCCCTACCAGAGAACCAAAATCGAAACCTAAAACAGCCGCCCCTCTCCTAATCCAAAACCGACCCTGACTTTAAGTCAAAGGGCCGCAAAAACAATAAGGACGGTGATGACGCTAGGAAGGTAAGTGTCGATCTGGTGGTTTGCATGTTCAATTTTAGGTTTCAATTGTCGATTTCGATTTAGGAACGAGGGTTTAATTTGAGTTTTTCTTTTGATTTCTGGGTTTAATGATGACGAGGGGAGAAGGAAACCCCGGTCGTCGGCGACTAGGACGTTCGACGACGACCACGACAACCCTCATTCCAGCGGTAAGCTACTTCTGTTGTTGCATGTTTGGTTTCCTTGAGATATTGACGATTTTCTAATCTGGTTTTGTTTTTGTTTTATATTTGTTTTTTTATTCGACGCGGAGAAAAAAGAAAAAGAAAAAAAGTTCGCCACCGTCGAGAGCCTAGACGCCGGCGAAGGTTGATCGACTCATCGGCAAAAATCTGGGTAAGCCGATATAAGCTCTATCTTTCTTCTGAGGTTTATTTCTTAGTCTCGGTTTTTATGGGTGTCGTTTTTATGTTTTTGTGTTTTGGATTTGGATGAGGAGGAGAAAGGAGCAGATGGTCGCCGGCGGTGGTGTGACGACGTCACACAGGTGAGGTTTTGGTTTTGTGATTTCACTTTTGATTTATTACTCCTTTGATCGAATCTGACCTCTACTCTTGTTTTGTCACAGGTTTTTTAATCCGAAATTAATGTAGGTGAGCCTTTTTTTAACTTAGATTATATGGTTAGAGTTTGAATCTGAAATTTATTGCGATTATGGTGCTGTTTTCGTTAGTTCTAGATCGACACCAATCATAGTTTCTACCAACTATACGCCTAAAGAAGGAAAGTGAAAGCACAAGACATTTAAAGTAGGCTGGAAATTGATTCGATATGCAAATAAATGCACTATTAAAGAAACTTAAAGCCAAAATGGAATTACTATGAGCTTATTTTGAGATTACAACGGTACAATTATAGAGCATGGATTTGACTAAAACGTGATAAGGTTATTGAGTACACACTTGATAAAAATGAGATCAGATGTTATTCAAAAGGTAGAAGAGTAAGAGTACCAACCTGATTAGAGTTTCTAGGCTGAACTGTATGATTTCCCTTCCTCAACTTCGACCAAGAGCAAGAGTCCCAAAAATAAGAATGAATCTGTTTTCGTTCTCATGGTTTTTCCCCCAGCTCCTCTTTTTCCACGAAGAGCTCACAGAGCTCATTTAAAGCAAACTAAACCGTCACGTGTTGCTCTCTGATTCGAGCATTTCTTTATTTCGACTTTGAAGAGCGTGCCACCCTGCTGAGGTCGGCTGTGGATATGATTTGGTTAGACCGAACTGGTCAAGGTAGGTTTATGGTTGGTTTCTAGGCCGAACTGGTTGGCCGAGTTGGGCCTATTGGGTTTGGGCCGGTACATGGCCTGGTCTAGTCTTGAACCTGGGCTCTGTTTTGGGCCGAATTGGGCTCTGTTATGGGTTGCATTCTGATCGTTTCTTTTTCTCTTTGCAGGTTCTTGGTCTGGTTTTGGCCCAAGATGATGATCAATGGAGGCCCAAACAGCCTTAATTGGCAAAGCCTCCAGTTCTGATTGGTGCCCAAAAGAAAAAGGAAGAAGTCTTTTCTGTTTATTCATTCTTAATTCCTTGTCAAATGTAATAATTATTAATTGTACATTTGTACTTTGTAATTATGCGTATTATTTTTGCGACTTATAATTAGAATGACCATGTAATTATTGTATGGCCCAACTATTCAATTGATTGTTTCCACCCAATTTGCTTACTTTTTCTCCAATCGTGACCCATATTCCAACTTCTTAAATAAGTAGTTCACAATTATGCATTTTGACCAATATTAGTAGGATTACTATGGCCTTCTTATCTCATTTGACCTAGTTTCAAATCTATGTCACTAATCATTAACAGTGGTACTAGTATAGTCGTGACGGCATACTATTGTTATTCTAAATAAAGCGAATTTGGTAGTCATTAGCTACTGCTAATCCTACCTAGTACAGATATTCGAACTAAACAGAAAGAGGACTTCGAAATTATTGGTACTTATTGATTTGCCACTGCTAATCTCAACCAACCTCGTCCAAACTTTCACTTGGGTTTTCTTTTTAATTTTTAAATGGAATATTCTTCCGAATTTTGAGTAGGATGGTTGCTCCGGACAAAATGTGGTGTCTACATCAGCCATTGATCGTTATGGATTGGTTTCAGGGATAGGAAAGCCGCAGGAAATTCATTACCAGTGGTGCGAGAGCTCCCATCACACCGTAGAAGACTGTCAGGCGATGAGGGAGTCGACTACACCCCAGGAGAAGCTGGACTTCATCGGAAATGCCAGGCGTTTCGACCCCCTACAGCAACACTTATAACAAGGGGTGGCGCCAGCATCCCAACTTCTCCTGGAATGTAACTAATCCTAGGCCACCAGTCTCCCAGATACAGCCAGGCTTTAGAGGCCTCCGTACCAGCCAAGACAAGGGCAATTCTAGCAACAGTAGCAGCCTCTCTATCTGCCCAGACAGGAACCAGTTCCTCCTCAGTTACAGATGAGGCCATTTCAGTAGTCATGTGTAGTCCCCGCAATCCCAGTACAGAGCGATCCGATGGCCGATTTGCGAGATCTAGTGGGTTCTCTGGCCACTTTCAATGCTAATAAGTTCAGCAACATCGAGCATTTCATGGAGAAAGCCTCGGGTAAATTCATGGAGCTTGAGGCTGGTCAGAGAAACAAGCAAGCTATACTACGGGATATCTACACCCAGCTCGGGAGTGTGGCACAGGTTGTAGCACAAAGGGCTCCGGGTACTTTACCCGACCAGACCATTCCCCATCCGCAGGACCCAAATGAACACAACAAGGCCATTACTACAGGAGTGGCAAAGTGACTTCTGATCCACTTGTCCAGACACGATATGAGAGAGAGACACCTGTTTCATCACTTCCAGCTAATGAAGAAGAAATGGAGAAGGAGGTTAAGGTGCCTACTCCTAAGCCGCAACCAGTGGTGAAGGAGTATATCCCTCAACAACCCTTTCCTACTCGGTTGCACAAAGACGGACTAGAGACTGAGTTTGCCGAATTCATGGCAATGCTGAAGCAGGTGAACATCAGTATGCCTTTCGTGGAGGCATTGTCGAAAATGCCCAAGTATGCTAAGTTCATAAAGGATCTCCTCACCAACAAGAGGAAGCTTGGGGAGCTGTCGAAAGTGATGCTGAACGAGGAGTGTTCTGCCAGCCTGCAGAAAAAGCTACCAGAGAAGCGCAAAGACCTAGGGAGTTTTACTATCCCTTGTATGATTGGTAGTTTGCATGTAGGAAAGTCATTGGCGGATTTAGGCGCTAGCATAAACGTAATGCCATATAAACTGTTTGAAAAGCTAGGCCTAGGTGAACCCAGTAATACTAGGATGAGCATTCAACTAGCTGATAGATCCATTGTGCATCCTAGAGGCATTACATAGGACTTGATAGTCACATTAGGGTCATTCTCATATCCTGTTGATTTTGTTATTCTTGATATAAATGAGGATGTCGATGTGCCTTTAATACTGGGTAGACCTTTTCTCGCCACCGCCACGGCGCTTATTGATGCGAATGATGGGAAGTTAATTTTGAGGGCTGGGGGTGAACAAATCACCTTCTCTGTTTCTGATAATATGAAACACCCCCAGCTCCATGATGATCTAGATTACTAGGATGTTATTTCTAATTTTGAGACCGCACTCACCATCACGAGTGCAAGTACTAACGATTTCCTTGAGCGTTGCCTTTTGCTAGGGGAACAGGCATCGTAGCAGTTGTAGCTAGACGGAGCTGCGATCGAGGGGCGACAGATGCCATTCAAGTCGATCCCTATCTCGCCCTGGATCACTACATCATTGGAGGAGCCACCAGAGCTGGAGCTTAAGCCCCTCACCTCTCACCTGGAGTATGCATTTCTCCGTGAGGGGAATAAGCTCCTGGTCATTATCAGCTCGGATCTTATACCCGAGCAGAAGAGCAGACTGGTGGCTCTGCTAAAGAAGTATGCCTCGGCCATGGCATGGAAGATAATTGACATTAGAGGCATTACTCCATCCTTTTGCTACCACAGAATTCTGATGGAGGATGAGGTTAAGCTAGTCAGGCAGCCGCAGCGGAGATTGACTCCTAACTTGGAGGCAGTGGTCCGGGCAGAGATTGTGAAGTTGATGGATGCAGGGATTATCTTTGCTATATCTGATAGCAAGTGGGCCAATCCCACTCAGGTGGTAGAGAAGATAGGCAGGATGACTGTGGTCCCGAATGAGAAGAACGAGTTGATCCCGATGTGGACTGCATTGATGACCGGCGCATGAACGCCGCCACCACGAAGGACCATCTTCCCTTACCTTTCATTGATCAGATGCTGGAGAGGTTGGCTGGCCATGAGTTCTACTGCTTCCTAGATGGCATGTGTGGATACTTCCAGATTCCCATCGCGCCAGAGGATCAGGCGAAGACCACATTCACTTGCCCCTTCGGTACTTTTGCTTATCGGAGGATTCCATTCAGGTTATGTAATGCACCGGCGACCTTCCAGAGATGTATACCGGCGATCTTCAATCGACTAGTTGGAGAAATCATGGAAGTCTTCATGGACGACTTCTCGGGTTACGGAGACTCCTTTACTCATTGTCTCCATAACCTGGAACTTGGCCTGAAGAGGTGCGAGGATACTAATCTTGCACTCATCTGGGAGAAGTGCCCTTTTATGGTTCGTGAAGGGATTGTGCTCGGGCACAAGATCTCCAATCAAGGGATTGAGGTGGATCGCGCGAAGATAGAGACGATCAGTAAGCTACCTCCTCCCATTTATGTGAAGGATGCAACATTCCAGTTCACTCCTGACTGCACAGCTCCATTCGAGACATTAAGGAGAAGCTTACCCATGCACCCATCATGGTGACTCCTTACTGGTCTCTTCCCTTTGAGTTGTTGTGCAATGCGCGTGACTATGCAGTCGGAGTTGTTCTGGGTCAGAGACGCGAGAAGCACTTCCAGTCCATCTACTACGCGTCATAGACCTTGAACGATGCACATGAGAACTACACCACCATTGAAAAGGAGCTGCTCGCTGTGGTGTATGCATTTGACAAGTTCCGACCTTATCTGGTGCTCTCCCATGTGGTGGTCTACACAGACCACTCCGCGATTCGTTATCTGATGAGCAAGGTTGATGCGAATTCTAGGCTCATTCGCTGGATCCTGCTTCTGCAGGAATTTGATATCAAGATTTGGGACAAGAAGGGAGCCGCGAATGTGGCTGCAGATGATCTTTCATGGTTGGAAGCCCCTTCGGTGGACAACTTCGTGGAAGAGATCAACGACTCCTTCCCGGGTGAGCGATTGATGGCGATGACCTTGGTAGAGAGCGTGGCCCCTTGTATTCTGACTTTTCCAATTATCTGGTGGGCAAACAGTTACCTAAGGGGATGGCAACTCATGCAAAGCGCAAGTTCTTCTCCGACCTGAAGCATTATTTCTAGGAGGATCCTTACCTCTTCACGATCGGAGCAGATGGCGTGATTCGGCGCTGCGTCATGGAGCACGAGATGGGAGACATCATGTCTAAATGCCACAAGGGACCTACCGACGGTCACCATGGAGGGAACCGCACGGCGTGGAAGGTGCTATAGTCGGGCTTCTACTGGCCCTAACTCTTCAAGGATGCAGACACCTTCGCACTACAGTGCGACCGCTGCCGGAGGTCAGGTAACATTTCTTCCCGGGATGAGATGCCCTAACATATATCTGTCGTTTGTGAAATTTTTTATGTTTGGGGCATCGATTTCATGGGCACATTCACTCCATCTTTCGGTAACTTGTACATACTGGTTGCGGTAGACTACGTCTCGAGGTGAGCAGAAGCTCAAGCCATGTCCACCATTTCTAAAGCAGTTGTCCTCCCAGTTCAGGACACCTCGTGCCATGATAAGTGAAAAAGGAAACCATTTTCAAGGGAAATTCAATAATCTCCTCTCGAGCTATGGTGTTAAGCATTAGGCTTCAGAGGCTTACCATCCTCAGACGAATGGTCAAGCCGAGCTGACGAACTGGGAGCTTAAAAGAATAATTGAAAAGATGGTGGATCAGTCCCAAAAGGATTGGTCCACCAAGCTCGATGATGCTCTCTTGACATATAGGACAGCCTACAAAACCCCGATTGGTATTTCACCATATAGGCTTGTCTATGGGAAGGCTTTTCATTTGCCAGTGGAGCTAGAGCACAAGGCTTTCTAGGCCCTTAAGCTGCTAAATGTGGATTTGAGTGTTGCAGGTACTGAACGTAAGTTGCAACTGCTACAGTTGGAGGAATGGCGTTACACACCTACGAGAACACCCTGCTCTACAAGGAGCGAACCAAGCGTCTCCACGACGCTCAGTTGAAGGGCCCGAAGGAGTTTCAGGTAGGTGATCGTGTTCTACTCTTTAATGCACGCCTGAAACTCTTTCCGAGCAAACTGTGTTTGAGGTGGTCGGGACCCTTCACGATCACCCAAGTTTTCCCACATGGTGCGGTGGAGATCAGCAATGTTCAAACTGAGCCATTCAAAGTGAACGGCGACCTTTCTAAAGTTGTACTTGGGAGGTGATGTCGATCGCGCAGAGCTGCTGATCAAGTTCGAAGACCCTTAGTTCCTCTACAGGTGACCAGTTAAAAGACGTTAAAGAAGCGCTTGTGGGGAGGCAATCCCACCACAGTTTGCATTTATTTCCCTTTTTCCTTTTCAATTTTTTCGGTTTTTTAGTCATTGAGTCTGTCTGGAGTCTGTCTGGAAAGTATCTCATGCCCGGGGCGGTCTGTTTTCATCTATGGCTGTGTATTTTTTGAGCTGGGACACGAATGAGGTTTGGTTGTTTGAAATCGTGGTTTTGAGTTTGTGCAGAGGCAGGCTTGGCAGTAAAAACACGGGCGCCTGGGGTCAAAAACTCGACCTTCTTTCATCCCCTGTCCGCCCGTGTTTTGGCATTTCACCCAGCAGAGCCTCGCACTAAAAAACACGGGCACCAGGGTTTGAAAACATGATCGTGTTTCGACCCCTGTCCGCCCGTGTTTTGCATCAAGGGAGAAAGTGCCTCGGCAGTAAAAACACGGGCGCGGAGCACCAGGAACATGGCCGTGTTCTGGGCCCACCTGTGTTTTTACTCCGTCCTATAAAAATCAAACACGACCGATTTTCTCTCCCCATATCTCATTTTTTTCAAAACCCCTCTCTCTCCTCTTGCCGGAAAATCAGCCCTCTCCCTTGGTGGTTTTTCGGCCAATTCTCTCCCCCGACCTCCAAATCAAAAACCGAGAACACCACTACACTCCTGGCGTCAGGGAGCACATTGCCCAGAAGTTTGGTCCCTTTTGGCGGAGGTTGGGTCGCCAGCGGTGAGTTCTCCGACGAGTTCTCCAGCAATTTTGGTGTGCATTTTTCTTCTCTTCACCTTCCCTGTGGTATATACTTGCGTCTCTAGGTGTGTTTCTTGTTTTATCATGGTCAATTTTGGAGAATTGATACTTAGGGTTATAGATGAATAACTTGAGATTTTGGCTTGAAATTGGATCTTCTTGGTAGGCCGATGGAGTTTATATGCTTGAAATTGTTGTTCCCATTAATTAGTTTTGTCGGCCTACCAATTGCATGTTGATGACTTGATATATACACATGTTTTTGTCCGCCATTCTTATACCGTTTGAGTCTTATTTCTCGTGTTTTAGGCCGATTTCACGCTAGGTTGTTCTTGTTTGTGATATCTCAGGTCCTAGTACGTGAATGAAGGTTTGGGAACGAGTTCGGGGTCGATTAGAAGAAGATTGGACGTTTGGCGAAAAGCTGAGGAAACCACACGGGCACGCCTAAAATTCCACACGGTCTTGTGACTTGGCCGTGTGGCAACACTACTTTGCGTGGGCAAGCCACACTGGCAGTGTAACGTCCACTTTGGTCGTGTGGGATTTCCAGAGAGTTCACACGTGTATGCCTTAATTCTACACGGCCGTGCAACACTGGCCGCGTAATGTACCTTTCGTCACTTAACCCAAACGCCGCGTTTTGGATTTCACACGGGCAGACTGGGGATTCCACACGGCCGTGTGGTCGTGAAATTCTGGGTTTTAACCCAATTTTGGGTCTTTTCAAGAGGGAAATCGAGTTTTTGAACAAGAAACAGAGCCCAAGAGAGAGAAAGTTGGAAGAACACATCCTACAGGTGATTTTGGAGCTAGGTTTCATCAATCAAGCTTGGAAATCATCCTTGGAGTGAAGATCATCATCCCAGAGCAGATTATCCACATCTTGATGAGTATGACTGCTTTGTTTTCTGTTTTTCTCTCTCTCTATGGAGTAGAACCCTCTATCACTTGGGTAATTAGATTCCATGTGTTAGGAATCTTGATTGCAATTATGTTTGGATTGTGATATTGCTTGATTATAATAGATTGAAGTGTTTTGATTGAGTCAATTGAAGTCTGATCATCTTTTATTGATTTCTGCTGCAACCTGAGATAGATAGAATTTGATTAGGTTGTTAGAGCTTCTTCAATCGGTAGTAGTGAATCGATTATACGAGAGTTAGTCGATTCACTACTTTGTACTGGAATCCAATTCCAGTAGTGGAGTTTTGTGTTCATAGCCTCAGCTTTCTATCCCGGTGAACGCTAGTCGTTTGCCGGGTAGTTGATTGAGAGGGTTTGGTCAGCTTAAGAGATTCCAAGCTACTGTCGGATCTTCCGCAGTATAATCAACAGTAAAGAAACCAAAAGTAATTACAATTGTGACCTAACTATGGAGCTAGGGGGACTCATTCTCGAGTGACTCTTCCGTTGCTAAAGAACTTCAAGCCATTTACTGCTTTCTTACTGTTTTTGCTTAAAATCACATTCACTCGACTTAGTTTTCTAGATAATAGATAAACACGGAGTAGGCAGTAGATCTAGACCCTGGGTTGATAATTAAAACTTGCCACTATTCTGCATTTCCGGACTGCGATTACACTTGGTCGCAGTTTGGTGTTGTGTTTTAGCGTGTCAAGTTTTTGGCGCCGTTGCCAGGGATCTCTAGGTTATTCTAGAAATGTGAAAGTCTATTACTTTAGCGTGTTTCCTTTCTTTTCCACCCTTTCTTTTCACTTGGGTGTTATGTTTTTGTTGGTGCAGATCTGAAACATGGATCTTCATGGCTTCTCCAACCATTGGTGGTATCAACCACCATCTGTGTGGTATTACCCCGAGACTTCATGGAGAAATAAAGGAGGAGAAGACTATGGATTCGGATGTCAATACCAACCCCCTACTCTTTAATGCACGCCTGAAACTCTTTCCGAGCAA